CATTTATGTACATATGTGTATATATGTGTATACATATGTATATATGCATATATACATGCACATATATGTGTCTTATACATATATACAAGCATATATTATTGTTGGAGCTTCATTTCTAACCTTACCTTCGGTTGTACTCCTGAATGCATAGGCAGCAGATCCTACAGGGAACCACCCCAGTGATCTTCCATCCTCTGTTGTACATCAGTAAGTCCATTTTCACAGTGTTCTTGTCAGTGTTTTGGGAATCATTCTTGGTCTGCAAGCTTAAAGGATCACTTCCCATTATCGAGTTCCCAATAGAACTTTATAATTTTTTTAAAAAATTCTTTAATGAGATGTAATACATTTTGTTAGGTGGGGGTGGTCATGGAGCTTGAATTCAGGGCCCAGGCACTGTCCCTGAGCTTTTTTTCCCCCCTCAAGGCTAGCACTCTACCACTTTGAGCCACAGCACCACTTCCAGTTTTTTGGTGGTTAATTGGAGATAAGAGTCTCATGGACTTTCTTGCTGGGGCTGACTTCAAACCATCATCCTCAGATCTCAGCTTTCTGAGTAGCTAGGATTACAAGCATGAACCACCACTGCCAAGCTAAGACTTAATACTTTTTGAACGTTCATATTTTTACTTGTACCTCCTATAATGGAAATAGATATGTGTGTGTGTTTGTGTGCATACATATGTATATATACAAATACATACACATACACCTATATAGTTATACAGAAATCTGTTGTTGTTATTATTATTATTATTTATTTGTGCCAGTCCTGGGGCTTGAACTCAGAGTTTGGGTAATGTTCTTGAGCTTTTTTGCTCAAGGCTAGCACTCTACCATGTGAGCCATAGCTCTACTTCTAGCTTATTTTGTTTTTGGTGGTCAATTGGAGATAACAGTCTCATGGACTTTCCTACCTATGCTGGCTTCAAACCATGATCCCCAGATCTCAACCTTCTGAGTAGCTAGGATAGAAAGTCTGAGTCATTGATGTTTAGTTTTTGTCACTTACTTTTCAAAGTGCCTGAGAAGAAATAAAATATGAAAGGTTCCTCCTGTTCTCCCAGAGAGACAGACAATATACACCCATTCAAGTAAATATATGGTGCATTTATTCTCTCTCTCTCCCTCCCCCTTTCTCTTTTTCCTCATGCCAATACAAGGGTTTGAACTCAGGAACTAAGCACTGTCCATTAGCTTTTTTTCCTGAAATGTTTTCCCTGTAGTGTTCTAGAACTTGAGTTACAGCTCCACTTCTAGCTTTATGGTGGTAAATTGGAGATACAAGTATGGTAGACTTGCCTACCCCCGCTGGCTTCAAACCACAATTCTCACCTCTCAGCCTCCTATGTAATCCCAGCCATATCATGTATTTCTAAGCGATAAGTACTATAGGAAGTTTTTGTAAAGGACATATCATGGAGATGGGCCTTGCTTGGAGAAGACTACTTTAGCTGGAATAGAAAGACACGGATGCTTGGGGCAAATACCATTCGGGCAAAGACACTAGATTCAGGAGGGAAAAGTTGCAAGGAAATGGACAGAAAGTGCTAGGCCCTGAGAGAACAGTCGTAAGGCCTGAAGAGGAGAGCACATGTACTGAAGGAGCTTTGGTGGGAGACAGGTCAGATACTTCACAACCTCAGAGAGTTTGCATGTATGCCAATTCAGACATGTGGCTGGGAGACAGCATGCTGGGTACAATTTCTGCTGCTGAATGACTTTGAGTTCCCTGAAGGCAAGGACAGGTTTCATTTAACTCTATAGGCCGAATTGCTAAATGGCCTGGAATTGAGTTAGGTCCTTGATAAAATATACTGATTGATAAACGACTGCATGTATGAATAAAAGAATGAATGAATGATCAAAGCCTTCTGCTTCTACTGAAACAGTTTTCTCTTTGTATTCTCCTCCTCCCTCTCTACTTGCTGCCCCAACAACAGTTTCTTTTCTTTGTAATAGAGTAAGTCCAGAGCCATTCTCTGTGATTCAATATTTACTGTGTTTCACACACTGTTATTATCATTTAACGTTTACTGTCTGCTGACTGTGCACTCATCGCTGTAGCAAACAAAGAGCTCAATTTAGTTTTAGTTCATGGGCTAATTTAGTCAAGGAAAAGGAGACATTGCCAGGGCAATTGGCATCCTAGAAATGGTGTTGACTGGAAATCTACTGGGTCCAGCTGAGTACAGATTCACCAGTGACCTTGAATGAGTCACTAACCTTCAGTGACTCTGCTTTCTAATTGAATTGCAGGCATGGTAAACTTCTTCACTGATGGGATTTCATGCATAGGCTAGACAGAGCTTCAAGAGAAAGAGTCTGGACTTGTGCAACTCTCTCTTGATGTACTCTGCCTCTGTCTATACCAGGCTGTGTCAGCCAGGCAGATGTGGTCTGCCTTGAGGCTTTCTTTTCCTGTCATTCTAGGAACCAAGCACATTCAGTGGCTGGCTGCTCAGCCTTGTGCTCCTGAATTAGACACTACTATTTCTAGGGGCAGTTGAGCCCTGGGTCTCTGGTTTAGGGCTTTGATGCACTAAGAAAAAAATAAGTAAGGCACTGAGCAACGCCATTTACCATAATGCTTTCATCTTTCTGCGATCCTATTGGCTGGCTACCAGAGTACTTTCTGCTAGTGTCTTGGGTGCTAAGGCTGGAATATAAAGTGTGTATATGGGGGGTGGGGGAAAGGGAGGCGCGGGGTCAGGCAGCAGGTCAGGCCAGCCCAGGAGGAAGAGAAGATGCTGAGGAAAGACTGGCCAGTACCTTTGTCCTGGACCATCACAGTGAGCCTCAAGGTCCTTTGGATTCCAGGGCTCTAAGAGTCAATGAATTTTAAGACTAGCTGTGTTCCATCCATCAAGCAGCAAGGAAAGCTCAAGCCTGTGTACAGTTGAACCAATAACTTACTGTGTCTGGTTACTCAGTCTTTTACTTGGAATGAGGTGGAAGGCCCTTGAAGGATTTAGAAAGGAGAGGTCAATACTGTGAGATGATTTCCGTTGCAGCAGGATTCCTCTGGCTTCTGGCTGAGAATAGAAAGAGGAGGCCAGGGTAGGAGGAGACAGCTGAGTTAAGAAGCCCTTGAAGGATACGGGGAAGAGCATATGGGGCCTTAGCCCACGGAGCTGGTTAAAGGAGCTCCAAAGAGTTGAATTTTGGAAGATTTTGAAGGGCTTCCTGACAGACTGGATGAAAAGTGGGAGAGAAGAAAGCAAGCCATCATCTTTTTTTTTTCAGGGTAGCTGAAGAGTGAATTAGAACTTGTCCATGCTACTAATGATGATGATGATAAATCAATAGCTAATTTAAAAATTCATAGCTCACTTTTTCTTAGCACTAATTAAGTGCCAGACATTGTTCCTGAGGGTTTTTGAAAGTAACTCCCAACGAGTTAGGGTCTGTTGGGAAGAGACCACCCAAATGATGTTATAGAGCCTGATGAGGAAATTTCATCTCTTCATCTCTCCAAGGTGACTCTTTCATTGTCAATGGTTATGGTAAGAGCTTTGGTGAGGCATGGGAAGAGCTAATCGAATAAGAAGAGGCTCTTACTTGGCCTCTCTTCAGTACTCGTGCCTGTGTGTGTGTGTGTGAGAGAGAGAGAGAGAAAGAGAGGAGAGAGAGGAGAGAGAGACAGAGAGAGAGAGGAGAGAGAGGAGAGAGACAGAGAGAGAAAGAGAAAGAGAGAGAGAAAGAGAGAGAGAGATGGTGTGTGGATATGCATGCATGCACATGAGGGAACTTGCATGTCTTTTGAACTGTAGGAGTACTGTCTTAAGCTCCCTTAACTCAGGAAGAGGGCCCAAAGTGCCAAGCCTACAAAGGCATCTTTTCCGTTGCCGGACACTATGAAGGCTACTTGTCTGCCTAAGTCTCATTTGAGTACAGACCTATTACAGACCATGTACCCCATTACACTACCCCTTTGTTCATCAAAGGCATTGATAGGTCCTGTCTTTGTAGATGGTTCCAGGAACACATCCCTTTTCTAAAAGCCACTAGGAAATGATTGTGGGATCTCAAGTAATGATACCTAAGAAACTGTATTGGTATGATGATACTGAATATGAATGCTAATCAGGTGATCATAAATACCATGTTTAAAAGGGAGAGAATGCCATCAAGAATCCAATGTGTATCCTACAAAATCAAGAAGAGTAAGGAATGGGGTGGGTAGGGGAGGGATGGGTGAGAACGTCAAAAGGGGTGACATTGATCAAGATATATGGTATTCATAAACTTCTTTGGTAAGTGGCAACTTCTTAATTACTTAATGGTAATACGAATAAATACATAAGAATAAATAAAAATTTGTTGAACTAAAAAAATAAAATATAAATGTATCTACAGAGGGAAAAGCAGCACAGAGATAAGAGCTAAGATCTTCAGGTTTGGTAATCTGACTTAACCATTTTCTAGGAAGGCCTAGATTCCCTCTAGGTCAGTTAGGGAATGGCTGAGTAACTTTTTAAGCAATATAAACTTCTGTGTCAATGCTCATTTGTTTGGGAATACAGTATATAAAATATCAGGAATGGAATTACTCTTGTCAATGCGGGAAAATGACTCAGATTAACTGGCTTTCTTGGGTTCCTTATGTATGACCATAGGTATCTTGGCTGAGCTAGATTCTGATTCATTTCCCAGCTTAGCTCCTAATGACCATACCTGAACTCCTATTGCTCTGATGGATTTCATTCCTCTATTTTTTTTTGTATAGCCTCAGAAGAATGGTATACTTTTCCCCTTTTGTTTCATATCATTCTATTATTGAATGGGGAGAATTACTTTTCTGTGTGTGAGATTATAATAACAGTGTACTAGACACACTGGGTTCAAATATTACTTCTGCCCCTCTTCCCCATGGAGCTGGTGTAAGGGAAGGCATCCACTTATAAGGAGATAGGGTAACATTATGTGGCTCCTTTCTTTCCCAAAGCACTAGAGCCAGGCATGTAGCTCACCCAGTACCTTGGTCTTGTCTTACAGAGATGTCTGGCACAGCTGCGGATATCTCACTGGTGCACTGGAGACAGCAGTGGCTGGAAAATGGCACATTGTACTTCCATGTCTCCATGAGCAGTTCTGGGCAACTGGCCCGAGCCACTGCCCCCACACTCCAGGAGCCCTCCGAGATTGTAGAGGAGCAGATGCACATCCTCCACATTTCTGTGATGGTGAGTATGTAGGTAATAATGGGGTCTGGGAAGGAGAACAACTAGGTAGAGAAATGGAGCAAGGAGGGAGCCCTCCACCCCCAACAGATGGAGGGAAAGAACTGGCCAAGTGATGTCACCTGGACTGATGCATATCCATCCATCATCTGTCAGCTGTGACAAGCTAACTGGGCTTCAGAGAAGAATTAACGGGCCTCCACTCTTTGGCCTTTTGGCTGACATCTCTGGGAATAACTGTTTAGCATCTGCCACGTGCCTGGCCTGCTTTGTCGAGGGCTGAGGTTCAATGCTCCAAAATAAGGTTGGCCTTTCTAAGAAGGACTGAACAAACTAAAACGGAACAAACCTGTAATGGGCTGCCCTTTCTCAAGTTCCTGGAGGTGTCAGGTTCTTTAAAGCTCACAACTACTATACAGTGGCCCCTGGAAATGACCGGTAGTGCCCAATGTAGTCAGTGCCCAGAGGCCTCTCAACTCCCTCCTTTTTGCGATGTTATATACCACGGAAGAGGGGAAAGAAGCTTACTGGAGTTCAGATAGCTTCTCGCAAGTGGAGTTGGTCTTGTGTCTTTGAACCCTGAATTACAAACCCTGAACTATATCCTGCATACTCTGAGTTCTCTCAGTTAGACAACTTTCTTTAGTATTTATCAGATATCAAAGACTGTGCCTAGCATGCTTATGGAAATGATCTCAACTCTGTTCTTGTTGAGATTGTGTGACATCTGGCATCCAGATACCACATGAAAGGTAAAGTTATGGAAGCAGAGTGGTGAGATAGACTTCTGGCTCTGTTGGACCTGGGACATAGAGCTCCAGGAGTGTGCTGCCTCTTCCGAGAAGGTCTCTGGGGTTGAGATCATTCAAGTGGCAGCCTGGAAGATTTCTTTATAAAGTTGCAACTAAGGGCTTTCTGTAGCAAATAGAAAATCAGCTAACAAACCAAGCTAGAATGCCAAAAGTATAGGATCTAATGGGCTCAGGATGAGCTTGCAAAATGGTGACATCTGCTATCCCACTATGTGATACCCCTCAAACCAATAAATACATTATTTTCTTTGACCATCTCTCCTTTATCACAGCTCGACCAGATGTGTTAGAGTAGGAAGTTATACTCCTAACCTATGTAAGAAGTGAGAGCTCAGAGAGATGAAATGATTTGTGTAAGTGTTCCTTCATTTCTTCCTTCCATCAAGAGTCAATATTTATTAGCCTTCTGCAGTGGAAACCGTCTTAGAATTTTTATATCTCTTTCTTATTCCTCTTCAACTAACTAGCAGTAGATATTCTGATTAGAACTGAGCATGATCTTGAAATCCTTCTCTTTTTTGGAGAAACATACACATATCCCAGCTAGATAGCAACGTTAATTTTGGACCTAACGCATGCTTGTCACGTGGAAGAACAAATCAAGGCCTTTGTGTTATTCATGGGATCAGTGTGATAGACTTTTTCCATATATGTGTGTGTGTGTGTGTGTGTGTGTGTGTGTGATCTGATGTTAAAACGAATTGACACAGGGTATAAATGCTCTTCTGCCCTTAAGGGTTCAGAGAAAGATTCCCTTTTGATTAATATTTATCAGATATTATCAGATATTTTCAGCATTGTGTATGGCACTTACTTAACACACATTCTTCCTATAACCCAGTAACCTACATTGGATTATCTCAATTATAAATGAGTCTTAGATGTGCCCTTCCTGCCTCTCAAGTTCAGTGTTGGTCTCACTAAGTCTCACGGTTACCCCGGGATGATGTCCCTTGCATTTTTTTTTTTTTTTTTTTTTTGCTGAATGAGGTCAGGTTGAAAAGTATAAGTCACCATGACCCAGATGTCACTGAAATTTATTTTGCAACTCGGGATTTGGTTGCAGAGTAGGGATAGGGAAGCTGGAAGGGTCTAGAACCTCCTTGCCCTTGAAATAACACCTAGTCAGCTACTAGTCTGCTCCCTAACCTCCCAACTTCCCATTCCCCACATTCCTTCCCCACCAGAGGAGAATCATGTCATCAAGGCACCGAACTAAAAGATGGCAGCCAGCATCTCAGAGTAGGGACCAGTTTCTGGGAAGGATGCTCGCTATCTCAAGGTAGGAGATAGGAAGGTCATCGTGCAGATTCCAGCCCAAGGGTCTGTGTAGTAAGTAACTCCTTTTTCCGTCTCTTGTATTCTCATAGCCACAGTGTTAACCTCTGTCTACCTTGTCTATATCATCTTTACATCGGATATTGCACACACACTTATTGTATAACTACACTACGCTTTTTGAGCAGAGGAGCTTGTAAGAGCATTTGCTTTTTTTATTATTAGACATATTTCAGTTGAAAAGTTTGTGATATTCTGATCTATCTTATTTTTCCACTTCATAGATCGATCGGTTGATCTCCACAACAGGCTAGAACTTGTCCTCAATCCCTTAGTCAGTCATCAGGGATTGAGAAGCCACCTGGTCCCTCTGTCACCAAGAGTCTGTCCTTCCTATCTTGGTCACAGACAACTCAACAAATAACCGTGCAACATCTCATTCCAGTTGCCCAGACTGTATCTTCCCATTTCACAGAAAGGAAATCTGAGACATAGCAAACTTGTTCATGGCTATATGGCTAGCAATGGATATGGATACAGGGAAATTCTGACATCAGGCATCCCCCAAGACTCCAAGTCCATATCAGGTGGCTCATGGAGGGGTCCCTACCCTCTCCATGAAGATCTGAACTGCTTTGTGAAAGGTTGTAAATCAACCAGTCACAGTCTCCAAAATTGTGTGGAGTGGCAGGACTAAGAGCTCTCCTATTTCTCAGCACAAGCTTTCTGCTGGCTCACTTAGGAGAATCAGCTGACATTCAGCCTTTGGAACCTACACAGTGCACATCTACCTGGGTGAAACCATGTGCTCCCTAAAGCTTATTAAGTCCTGAATTAACCAGCTTCCTAGTCCCCAAATGATGCATCATCTGACAGTATCTCCAAGTTTAATGCAAGGAGGAGGTATTATGTGAAGCTAGGCCAGAAAAAGAAGGCAGACTGTCATTGTCATCTCCTTGATGCCCTGCCCAAGCTGAAGCTAGGGTGAAGCTGTTTCATTATATTACTGAGCTATGTGGGCAGCAGGAGGTAGAAAAGAAAGACAAGGATGGGGATCCAGCTGAACTGGCTCTGAATGCAATCTCTTTTATTTCCTTCTTCCTTTTAGTTTTACCCTGACAAGCTGTTAACAGCTCTCAGCCCTCAGTTTCCTTATCTATAAAACAGAGGTGATCATGTATATCTCACATTGTTATTGACAAGAGTAGAAAGAATATATAAACAATAACCAGCATCTAGCATGGCACACAGCACACAGCTAGTATGTAGTTATAATAGCTATTAATATTACCCTTGCAATGACATTCAGAAGATTCCAGTATAAGAATTAGAAGACATTAGGTTTGTCATATATTTCCTGCCATATTGCTATGTGATAGAGAGAAATAGCCATAATACCTGTTATTTCACTTTAGTATTTACTATATGCTAGACAATTTTCCAAGTTTCTTTTTGCATGCATAAGACAATCAATCTTAAGATGGATATTATTTCATAAACAAATAGTGTAAGTATTAATTTAAAAATTAGATATTCATGTAACTATGGTCACTCAAGTGTTAAATGGCAAATCAGTAGTTCACTTAGAAAAGGCTGACCTCTATCTTTGGTCTATATAGATAGCAGATCATCATTTCTCTTCTCTATTGCTGACTCAAATTGTAGGATTTCATCATTTAATTCCTACAGAGATTCTGTTTTTATAAAATATCCATTTGTATGTTAGTGGGGGTCATATCTTCATAACCAACACCAATGTTAAACAATGTATCTATTCCTACCTTTATGTCTTTGGCCAAATCACCTTCATTATTTATAGAACTGGGATAACTAGTTCAACTGGACTTTTTGAGTTTATTCCTAAGTATTGTGTGACGTACCAATTCACAAATAAAATGAATTTTATTATTGAGAAATCTCTGAGGCCAGACAGTTTAAATAGAGCATGCCCATGATTCTGTTTAATTGATCCTTATACCTTGTAAGATAAGGAATTATTTCCTTCATGGACAGATGAGGGATCTGGGAGTTAGTGAGGTTTTGCTGGCTATTTATTAACAACACCAGTAAGTGCTGAGGCTGGGATTCTAATACTATAGTCCATCCAAATTGAGGAGCTATGTCCTGGGCTGAATTCTGCATGGCACAGTGCCTGACATTCAATAAGTCCTCCGAAAGCCAAAGCTGTAGTGAGGGTTTATCATGCCTGTTATTTATGGAGTATTCACTCTTGGTGCTTAGAACACTTAATAGAACTTGGAAGTGTGTCAGTAAGAGAGAGAGAGAGGTATTGTTCAGGCCAGCAGTTTATCAATAGGAGAAAAGAAACCCTACTGCCCACCATTTCAGAGCCAGAGGAGGCTTTTGACTTGAATCCTTTAGGCTTCCTTTGCATCCAGTGTTCATCAACCCAAACTAGCACTGTCCCTTGCTGTCTACCAGTTCAACCTGAGATCTTCATACACCAACCTGAATACTAAACATGGAAGTGCTGGATTTATTTTAATCTATAAAGTGAGAAGAATTTGCCTATGACAGGTAGCTTTTAGGTGGAATGACAAAACTCCTATTATGAACAGAACCTTTGGTTTTCTTTTCTTTCTTTCTTTTGCATTTAGATGTTCTTTTGCTTTTGTTTGGTTTTTCTTTTGGTACAGTTACTATGGCTACTTATATTGACATTTCAAGACATTTTATTTTCATGTTGATCAAAGGTTCCTTCAAAGAAAATAGTTATTCAGAGGTTAGTCATATAACACTATTTTCTTTCTCCTTCCACCCCCCCCTATTTTAAACAATGATATTATGTCATTTTGATATGGTATGTTTTGTCTTAAAGATTTCTACAAAACATTATAGAAACTGCCTAAGATCAATATCTTTTATCATGGATCTTTTTTCTTCTTCTTCGTC